CCACCCCGGGAGGGGGCAGCAGGGGGCAGCTGGGGACACAGGAGGGGCCGACCTCCGATCAGCCCACACCTCTCTCCTCGCTCCACTGCCAGCAAACGGAGGCGCAGGTGGGGGTCTTGGCATGCGATGTGACCCTTCTCTCCAGGCCTTCTCCCCATTTCCTGGGAGCGGAGGGTCTGTTTGCTGGCGCATCCAGACTCCCCGACTCTCTCAGGGCCGGCGGGCTGGGCGGAGCCGGCCCTGCCCACCTCCCCTTTGCAGAGGGGCAAAGGCTCTGAGGCACATGGAGCTTCAAGCAAACGGGGAGCCCCAGGGTTCACCCTCTGTCGTCCCCGGTTTGTTCGAAGCTCCATCTGCCTCAGAGCCTTTGCCCCTCTGCTCCCCAGGATTGAGGCTGCCTTCCGGCCCCCTCCCATCAACTCCCTTCGCCTTAGGTGTGGCTTCCCCAGGGCCCCAGCCAGCCCAGCCCCTGCCCTGGCTGTGACAGTCTGTGGCCAGAGCTATGGCTTCCCTGTCGAGTCACTGCGCCCCGTGGGGCAGCCACCTGTCCGCAGCCGCTCCCCCGTGGGACTCGGGCTGCCTGTGCCAGGCACTGGTCGGGCCCAGCTCACGGGGAAGGCAGCACTGCTGCCCCCCTCCGGCCAGGACCTGTGTTCAGGTGTTCAGGGACAGTGCAGTGGCCGAAGGTGGGAACCGGGAGCAGTGACTGAGGTCTCGAACGCCCCCACCGCAGCAGCCCCTCAGACTGCACCTCCAAGGCCCCTCTGGGCAAGCCAGGGACAGAAACCACGTCTCAGGCTTCGGGACAAGCTGTCAGGCCGGCTGCCCTGCTTTGGGCTCAGGGGCCTTGTGATGCTGCATGCGTGTTTGGCCCTGGTCAGGTGGACTCACAGGCAGGAGGAGACGATTGTCCCAGCCTCTGTACTCCCAGAGCAGCCTCACATGCCATGCCCAAGCTTCCTGAAGCAAAGCCTGAGGGAGGTTCTTCCTTTTGTCTGACTCGAGTCCTTCTTGCTGTTGTTCCTGTTCTGACCTTCAGTGGAAATGGGGAGAGGCCCCTTCTGGGGTTTCAGGGAACTGGAGGATCTGGGGCTAGAGGCACTTGACAGGGGCCCCCAAACGGCGCAGACAACTGGGGCATCACCTGAACTTTGGGATGGCTTCCAGGCATTCCTCTGCCTGGCCACCCCACACTTAGTCTCTGGGTTTCTTTCTTTCTTTCTTTTTTTCTTTTTTTTCTTTTGAGACAGAGTCTCACTCTGTCACCAGGCACCAGGCTGGAGTGCAGTAGCACAATTTCAGCTCACTGCAACCTCTGCCTCCCGGGTTCAAGCAGTTTTCCTGCCTCAGCCTCCCGGTAGCTGGGACTACAGGCGCACGCCACCACGCCCAGCTAATTTTTGCATTTTTAGTAGAGACGGAGTTTCACCATGTTGCCCAGGATGGCCTCAATCTCTTGACCTCATGATCTGCCCTCCTCAGCCTCCCAAAGTGCTGGGATTACAGGCTTGAGCCACCACGCCCAGCTTGGGTATTTTTTTTTTTTAAGATGGCGTCTCACTGTGTCACCCAGGCTAGAGTGAAATGGCATGATCTCAGCTCACTGCAACTTCTGCCTCCCGAGTTCAAGCGATTCTCCTGCCTCAGCCTCCTGAGTACCTGGGATTACAGGTGCATGCCATGCACCATGCCCAGCTAATTTTTGTATTTTTAGTACAGACGAGGTTTCACCATCTTGGCCAGGCTGGTCTCGAACTCTTGACCTTGTGATCCACCTGCCTTGGACTCCCAAAGTGCTGGGATGACAGGCATGGGCCCTCTGGGTATTTACTGCACATGCACCCTGGCACGTTGGGTCCTGTTCCCACAGCAACTGAGGTCGGACTCCGCCATCCATACCCCTTCCGTAGGCAGCGGAGCACCCACTGACCCAAAGTGCTGTCCTGGGTGGGGCCAGGGGCTGTGAGGAGGAGCAGTGTGTGTCCAGGGCTGCTCCCATGGGTGGCTGCATTGGCACCGGACCCCCGGGAGATGAGGCTGGAGAGGAGGTAGGGAGGGCCGGGGTTGAGGTGTCAAGTTGGGGCCAGGCATGTGCCCTTCCAGACCGTGTCATCCCAGCAACCCCTCCCTCCAACCACAGACACTGGATCCTCTCTGGGGAGGCCTGGGCGGAATTCCGGGGCCCAGGCTGTCAGGAGAGCGTCTGGGGCTGATCCTCATGCCGCCACCAGAGGGCGCCTGAAGCCCGCCGTGGGCCTCGGGAGCCTGCGCTGGGCCGCGCTGACCCGGGGACCGCCGAGCAGCTGCAGCCCTGGGTGACCCACGTGCCTCTCCCAAGCCCTGCAGCTGCAGCAGCGGACCTGCCAGCCTCTCCCGACCACTGCGAGCACCTCACGCGCCCGGCCCCAGGCCCAGCCTACCCTTTTCATTTTTGATTCTTTATTTATTTTGTGTATTTTTACGGAGTCTTGCTTGGTTGCCAGGCGGAGTGCAGTGATGCAATCTCGGCCCACTACAGCCTCCGCCTCCCAGTTCAAGCGATTCTCTTGCCTCAGCCTCCTGAGTAGGTGGGACTACAGGCGCACACCACCACGCCCGGCTAATTTTTTGTATTTTAGTAGAGACGGGGGTCTCACCATGTTGGCCAGGATGCTCTCGATCTCCTGACCTCAGCTTCCCAAACTGCTGGGATTACAGGTGTGAGCCACCCAGCAGACCTTATTTATTTATTTTAAGATGGAGCCTTGCTCTGTCACCAGGCTGGAGTGCAGTGGTGTGATCTTGGCTCACTGCAACCTCCGTTTCTCTGGTTCTAGAGTTTCTTCTGCCTCAGCCTCCCGAGTAGCTGGGACTACAGGCACGCGCCACCACGACCAGCTAATTTTTGTATTTTTAGTAGAGACAGGGTTTCACCATGTTGGCCAGGATGGTCTCTATCTCCTGACTTCGTGATCCGCCCACCTTGGCCTCCCAAACTGCTGACATTATAGGCGTGAGCCACTGTGCCTGGCCTATTTAATTTTTATTGAGATGGGGTCTCACTCTGCCCCCAGGTTGGAGTGCAGTGGTGCAATCACAGCACATTGCAGCCTCAGCCTCCTGGGTTCAAGCAATCTTCCCACCTTGGCCTCACAAAGGGCTAGGACTACAGGCATGAGCTGCTGCACCCAGCTAATTTTTGTATTTTTTGTGGAGTTGGGGTTTCACCTGTGTTAGCCAGGCTGGTCTTGAACTCCTGACCTCAAGCGATCCTCCTGCTTCATCCTCCCAAAGTGCCTCCTTACAGGTGTAAGCTGCCACACATTAATTTTTGGTCTGAATTTTTATTTTTAATTGTAAGATATACATTATAAACTCTACCATTTTACCCATTTTAAAGTGTCCTGTTGAGTATATTTATGTTGTTGTGTAACCAAGCTCCAGAACTCTGCCCTCATTAGGCCGGAACCCCACCCCCTCCCCAACCCCTGTTCCACTTTTTGTCCTTCTGACCTTTACTACTACAAAGTGACTCACAGAAGTGGAATCCCACAGTGCTTGTCCTCTCAGCTGCAGACAGGTACTTGGGTGGCTTCCACTTTTGGGGGACTGTGGTGGTTTCATATGACCTGCACACTGCCCAGGGCAAAGGGCTGGACCAGCCCAGTGGGCACCTTTTTCCTTTTTGGCCTGGGAGTGCCCTGGGGTTGAGGGAGGTTGTGGTCAGTGGGGTCCAGCCTCCCACTGCTACTGGGCCATCTGGCCTCATGTGTCCACCATGAGTTTCGAGCACCGGGTGGCTGGAGGTTTGGGGGCAGGGGACAGAATGTTCAGATCTGCAGGCTGCACAGTCTCTGCTGGTCCTTGCAGGCCCCAGCGAAAGCTTCTCTTGTCTTTAAGGGGTTCAGAGTGCAGTTGGATTCTTTGGCTGTGCCTTAGGTCTTCTGTGATCTGACCTGCTGTCCCCGCCCACCACCCATGCCCTGGGGTTTCACCAGGCTGCCAAGAGCTCCTTCCTCAGGGCCTTGGCCCAGGCTGTCTGCTCTCTCTGATTCTCTGGCCAGCCACTGCCCACTCCCACCCACCAGGCCAAACTCAGCGGTTGGGATGTTGGGAATCCCTCCCTGCCCCAGCCTGAGGCTAGAGTGTGTGTGAGAATCGCCCGTTTCTGCTTGCTTCGCCTTGGTGGGGGCTGTTCCTATGTCTCCCCGTGCTGCAGGCCTGCAGGGGTGCCTGTGGCTGCCCCATTCACGTCTGGCCCGGTGTCAGTCATCCGGCAACCATGGGGTACCACTAGGTCTCAGTAAAGGGGCCCAAGCCTGCGGGCTGCTCGCTCCACAGCAAGACCCCGTCCTGCGGACGGCCTTACCAAAACCCAAGGCCTGGCCCAGCTCCAAGGTGCAGCCCCAGGCCAGGCCCTCCCCACCCCTGGAGTCAAGACCTCTCTCCTCAGGGGCACCAAATGCCACTGGGGAGGGGTCAGCAGGACCGTAGCAGGTTGGGAGGGATGTGGGCAACAGGCCCAGGTCCCAGTGTTAGGAAGGACGAGACCCCGCCGCCCAATCAGAGGGCGTGGCAGAGCCACCAGGTGGGCTTCCTTCCCTAGCACCCCCAGATTCCAGTGGACCTGAAAACCCCGGCTCCATCACGGGCTCCAGGGCTCCGATCTGGACGGCGCGGAGGGCGAGGCCAGGGTGAGGGCGCGGGGAGGGGCGACGCACAGCGCGGGGCGGGCAAGGAGCCTCCCTCGCGCGCCGAGGCCCCTGGCAGCGCTGGGGCGGTGGGATCGTCCTCTCGCGGCGCCCGGGCTCCGGCCCCGCCCCCTCCCTGCTCCGCCCCTGCTATTGGCGGAAAGTTCCGGGCCGCGTCGCGATTGGCCGGGACGCCACCTGCCCCGCCCCTTCCCGGCCCCCTCCAAGGCGGCCTTGGCGCGGGAGTCGCGCTGCGGGCGGAGCGGCGGAGGGCTTGGGGGCTTCGCCGGGGCCGGGCGGCCGGCGCCCGGGGCTGCTCCCGCCGCCGCCCGGACCCGCGCCCGGCCGGGGCAGCGGTTGTGGGAACCCCGAGCCTCCGGACGCCGCCCGCCGCGCCATGGCCTTCCCGGCCCCCGCGCTGCTCTGTGCGCTGTGCCGCGGCCGCCCGCGTCGGCTACTCCGAGGAGCGCTGCAGCTGGAGGGGCAGGTACGGCCCAGGCGGGGCGCTGTCCCCGAACTTGGGACGGGGTGCGCTGAGGCCTGGACCCCCCCATGCGCCTCCCGGAGCGCGCAGAGCGCTGGGCGGGTTTCCCCCTCCGGGAGGGTGAGGGGGCTGCGCCCAGTGGGGACCCGCCCCCGCCTCACCGCCGTCCGGTCCCCAGCGGCCTGACCCAGGAGCCCGGCAGCGTCGGGCAGCTGTCGCTGGCCTGTGCGGACGGCGCGGTCCCGTGGCTCTACCCGTCTGGGGCGCTGCGCCTGACCCTGGGCGGCTCCGACCCCGGCGCGCGGCCCGGCATCGTCTGTCTGCGGCCGGCGCGGCCCTTCGCGGGCGCCCAGGTCTTCGCGGAGCGCGCGGGCGGCGCCCTGGAGCTGGTGCTGGCCGAGGGCGCGGGCCCGGCAGGGGGCCGTTGCGTGCGCTGGGGTCCCCGCGAGCGCCGGGCCCTCTTCCTGCAGGCCACGCCGCACCGGGACATCAGCCGCCGCGTGGCCGCCTTCCGCTTTGAGCTGCGCGAGGACGGGCGCCCCAAGCTGCCCCCGCAGGCCCATGATCTCGGCGTGGACGGTGAGTGGTGGTCTGGGTGGGACTTAGGGTTGGCGTGAATGTGTCTTGTCGGCCCCACTGCAGACGGAAAGAGAGATCCAAGGGTTCAATGGGCTTGTCAGAGGTCACACAGCTGGGGACCGCCAGGGTGGGGTGGCCTTCCCGCCCTCCCTTTCCGATTGATCTCGGGAAAGAGCTGGCAGGGGCACAGCGGAGGAGGGAGGCCAGGCAGTGCAGCCTTGGACCTCTGGTCCCTGAAGGGTTGCGGGAGGAGACGGTAGGGGCAGAATGAAAGCCTTGAGCCAAAGCTGTCCGGGCTCCCTGGCCCGGCGGTGACCTCTCTCCCCTCCCGCAGCCCAACCCACAGAAGTCCTGTGTGCAGCCCAGACACCATGGAGACGCTGCCCACCTCTCTGCAGGGCACTAGGCTGAGGTCTTGGCTCTCCTGGAGCTTCGTGCCTGAGCCTGCAAAGGATAGGCTCTCATGATTCTGCCCCCTGGCCCTAGGCCAGGGACCCCAGAACCTCCCCTCCGCTGCCCCCACCTCCTATGACCCTAACTAGGCTGCTGCTCTTCAGGTCCCAGATCCGGGAAACTAGAGGGGTCCCAGATGCTGGGGTACATATGTCAGATGGGGGTTAGGAGGGCAGCCTGGGACAGCTGATCACCAGGCACCGCCTCCAGGCCCATGTCTGTGTGCCTGCAAGCGTGTTTCCCGAGTACTGGTGTCGCCGAGGGTGTGTGCATCTGCCGTGTGGCTCCCTGGGATCCCCAGGTGCCACCAGGCTGTGAGCACGGGCTCTGCTGCCTCCTGCCACCTGTGGAGCGATGGGGCCTGGGGTGCTGCCGGGAGAGGGCAGGGCCTGTCCTCACCACCCCCTCCGTATGCCAGGTGCCTGCAGGCCCTGCAGCGATGCTGAGCTGCTCCTGGCGGCGTGCACCAGCGACTTCGGTGAGTGTCCCGCCATTGGGGAGCCTGGAGCCGGCCTTCCTCTGAATGCCCACCCCAGCCAACATGCCCCCTGCAGTAATTCACGGGACCATCCACGGGGTCACCCACGACACAGAGCTGCAGGAGTCCATCATCACCGTGGTGGCCGCCCGTGTCCTCCTCCAGACACTGCCGCTGTTCCAGGTGGTGCTCCGGGGACGAGAGGCTGACCTCCATTCGTACCCCACTGCACTGCGGCGTCCACCCGGGCCCAGGCACCTTCCTCTTCATGGGCTGGAGCCGCTTCGGGGAGGCCTGGCTGGGCTGTGCCCCACGATTCCAGGAGTTCCGCTGTGCCTACGAGGCTACCCATACTGCCCACCACCGCCACCCCTGCGAGGTGGTGCTTCACTGAGGGACCAGACGCAGCGCCAGCTGGAGCTCCTGTGGGGCAGGGTGTTGGGGAGGGGCTGGTAGGAGGGAGGATGGGGGCCCACTGCTTCGGAAGTGGCGGGGACGATCAATAAGAACTCTGGTGACATGAGCTGCTGTGGATCTGGTCTTGTGTGTCCAGCCCAGGCCTGGGCCTGCCTTGCAGCTGTGAGGACAGCTCCAGTTCCTGCCTTCTGGTGGGATACTCGGGGAATGGTACCTTGTTCAAGACCATTTGGCAACTGAGAGGGAGAGCAGATGTGAGGAGGAGCTACAGGCGCATCCCCGGGAGGGGCTGTGGCTGGCTGGGGGCCACACGGAGACCCCCACTCACACAAACTTCTGCTCTGCTGTGCCCACCTGCCCCGTCCTAGCCCGGCCCTCAGCTGCTACCCTGGCAGGCTTCCACTTGCCTCCTGGGCCAGGTGCTTCCAGGGCTCAGCAGGAGAGGGACAGGGCTGTGGGGCCAAGGGTCCCTCAGGTGTGGTGGAGGCAGGTGGGTGCATGGTGCCCTGGCTCTGAGCCAGGCCTGTGAGGGAAAGGGCTGCAGTCTGGCCGGGTGCCCACGTCCCTCCGTGGACCGCTATGAGCCCGCAGTCATCCTTGGCCCCGTCCCGCCCTTGGGGAAGAATGGGCCCCTCTGTCCACAGGCCCCTCCAACGTGCCAAGCATCCAGACCTGGCGAGGAGCCTGAAGGGTGTGGGGTCCCCTCTGCAGGGTCCTGCTTGTTGCCTGTTTCCGGCGGGCAGGGCGCACAATGAGGTCTCCAAGGACTGTTTCCCGCCACGGGCCCCATTGGCACCATCTCCGCCTTCCTCATCAGCCGTTCAGCCACATAAAGGGCCAGTGAGGTTTGGGACAGCCACGGCTCGAGGCCCGAAGGCTAAAAGCCTCTGGGTGGGGGTGTTCCAGGCCCCTTGGCCCTGCTCAAGCTGCCTCCTCTCACCCCTACCCCTTATATCCTGGGAAAGAGACAGCCACGGCTCAAGGGCCAGGGACCCCTGGGCTGAGCCCCAGAACCAGTTGGCTTTCCATTCTCACCTGGGCCAGGGGTTGGGTAGAGGCCAGAGGCCCTGCCCAGGCAGGTGAAGTCCCCAAGCATCCAGGGAGCAAAGTGAGGCTGGGTGAGGGACACAGCTGTGCAGGGCCCACAAACAAGGCCCTTCCTCCACATCCGTGGATGTAGGTGCCTGGTGGGTGCATGCCCTCTGTGGACACCTGGGTGGGGCGATCACCTCCAGCACCACCCTGGGACTTCCTCGGGGCAGGTTGTCTGAAAGCTGCACATGCAAGGGGCTTATTGTTTCACACAGATCGCCTGCCTGCCGTGGGGCTGAGGAGAAGGATGGGTGAGGGGCACAGCTGCCTGTGTGTCAGTCACTGGGGTGGGGGAGGCGGGGCTCAGGGGTCATCCCACCTTCTGCTCCTCCTCAGGCTCTTGCTTCTCTCCTCTCCCCAGCCAGCCAACTGGGGCATGCTGCAGGCTCAGGGACAGGACCACTCCTCTGGGCAAGCCTCCAATAATACTTGGACAACCTCCACATTTTCATCCAGCTCCGACCATTCCCTGGGCCCCATAGCCTTACACCCGTCTGGCCCCAGCCCAGACACTTGCGCAAAGACTAGAGAAAGAAGGAGCCTATGTGCCCTCCCTTGAAGCCTTCTCCACTCCTGTCTCGGGAGGCTTTCCCACGGGCTGAGCAAGCCCCTCACCTTTGGCACCTGCCTTGATTCTGTGGCCAGCTTCCTACAGCCTCTTCTGTTGGCCACACCCAAGTCCACCTGTTCACAGACAGCCTGGGCTGGGCCCTGGCTGCACCCTGCCTTCTACCCACCTGTCCCAGGAAGTACCTAAGCCTTGCACCTACAGACCCTCCGAGAGAAAGCACTGGCTTTGCAACCAGCCGTCTTTTCATGAAACACAGGGCCACAGGAGGACCACAGGTCTTGGAGCCTTAGACCAGAGGCTTCATGCCTGCCCTGGGGATGACTGGCCAAAGTCGGTGTGGGTGAGCACATGGGCGGAGCTACGGGAGCCTGGGGCCTTGTGGATCACATACTTCCAGGCAAGTGCCAACTCACATGGGCACAGGGGCTGCAGAGTGCCCAAAGACCAAGGAGCAGCATGCCCAGTGTGGACATGAGTGGGGAGTGCACGCCGGAGTCCAGTTAGGTGCACTTATCCAAGAAGCTTTTCCCGAGAGCCTTCTAGGTACTGTTACTGCTTCAGGTGCAGGTCAGGAATGGATGCTGTCGGCTCTCCCTCAGAGCTCAGTGCACACCTTCCTTTCTTGGGAGGGCCGTTCCAGGCCCCCGGGACACAGGACACACTGCACTGGATGGGGCTGGGGCCAGCATGTGGGCAGCCTGAGAAACACTGCACTTGGAGGTTGGGGGCAGTGGTCTGGGGCATACCCATGCTGTCTGGAAGCAGCCTCTGTCCCTGCAGGGGCTCCCTACCCCAGCCATGGATGGCTAAGGAGCCACACCAGGGCAGGCAGAGGCAACCCCTTACATTCATGGGCGTCCAGCCCTACCCAGGGTGTGGAGGTCGCAGCCCTGCTGCCTGACCCAGAGCTCAGCTCTTCCACATGCACCTCCACCCCTGGCTTCACAAGGTCACCTCCAGAACTCAATTTTTTTTTTTTTTTTTTAAAGATTAGTTTCACTCTTTCACCCAGGCAGGAGTGCAGTGGCACCATCTCAGCTCACTGCAACCTCTGCCTTCCGGTTTCAAGCGATTCTCCTGCCTCAGTCTCTCAGGTAACTGGGATTACAGGTGCCCACCACCACGCCTAATTTTGGTATTTCTAGTAGAGACAGGATTTCACCATGTCGGGCAGGCTGGTCTCGAACTCCTGACCTTGTGATCTGCCCCACCTCGGCCTCCCAAAGTGCTGGTATTACAGGCGTGAGCCACCGCGACCGGCCAGGAACTCAATCTTTTTGTGTGTTTTGTTTTCTGGAGAAGGAAGGTGACCTCTCAACGGGGGCTGCTTGCCTCCGCTGCAGCTGGGCAGGCGCCAGAGGCCCCGGCCTGTGACCTCGGCTTTCCTTCCACCGGGCTCACTGGAAGCCAGCCCCTCTCTCTCCTCTTCCTTCCACGCCGCAGATGCGCGGCCCCGTCTCCCTGGGGCTCTAGCTCGAGACCGCCGGGACGTGCGCTCCCCCGGGCGGGACCTGCTTGTCCCCTTGCGCGGGTCGCCAGGACCCAGCGCAGGACCAACAGCGCTCCAGAGCGCACCAACGGAGCCGACCCTCGCAGGCCTGGGGCGGGCCAGGCGGTGCAGCGGCCGCGAGGCTGCCGTGCGCCGGAACCCGCGGGAGGGCAGCCGGGCCAGGCGGAGCGCAGAGCGCAACGGACCGACCGCGCGCGCTCTGCCGGCCACTTCCGGCGTCTAGCAGCGGCGCCCAGCGGGAGTGGGAGGGCGCAGCGTCAGCTCCCGGCCCGGCTGTGAGTGCCGCTGGGCAGGCGACCCTGAGCTGCGCATCCCGCAGCCATGGAGCAGGACGACCCGGCGGAGGCGCTGACGGAGCTGCGCGAGCGGCGGCTGGGCGCGCTGGAGCTGCTGCAGGCGGCGGCCGGCTCCGGCTTGGCGGCCTACGCCGTGTGGGCGCTGGTGCTCCAGCCCGGCTTCCGGCGCGTGCCGCTGCGGCTGCAGGTTCGGGGCGGGGCCAGCGGCTGCCGCTCAGGGGCTGGGCGGGGCCAGAGCGAGCCCCGCCCCTCGCTGGGGGTCAGGGGCGGGAGCGGCCAGCGGACTCCCACCGCCTCCCTGTCCAGGTGCCCTACGTCGGCGCGAGCGCGCGGCAGGTGGAGCACGTGTTGTCGCTGCTGCGAGGCCGTCCTGGAAAAACGGTGGATCTGGGCTCTGGCGACGGCAGGATCGTAAGTGCCCGCGCCTGGGTCTTGGCCGTCCCACGCCCCCCACCTGCCGGCGGGCGCCCTTGCCCCATCCCGTTTCCCACGCTCTCGGTGCCCACAGGTGCTGGCGGCCCACAGGTGCGGACTCCGCCCCGCCGTGGGCTACGAGCTGAACCCGTGGCTGGTGGCGCTGGCCCGGCTGCACGCCTGGAGGGCCGGCTGTGCCGGCAGCATTTGCTATCACCGTGAGGATCTCTGGAAGGTAACCTGGGGAGCCCTGGCCACCCACCGACACCTGCGAGGGCTGGGGGCCGGGACTTGGAAGCTGCTGGGACCCCGTGCCCACCAGGCCTCTCCCCGGCTGGGGCAACTCCTCTTCCTGCAGGTGAGCCTGAGGGACTGCCGAAACGTGTCTGTGTTCCTGGCTCCTAGCGTGGTAGGTCCGGGGTTGCCAGCCCGCTGGGAAGTCCCGGCCACACCCCAGGGTATTCACTGCTCTGAGGCCTGGGCCAGCCTGGGGGATGCTAGGCTTAGGGCTGGGAAGGGAGAGTGGGGGTGCTGTTTTCCGCTGGCCTCACGCTCTGTACTCTGCTCTTCTCTCCTTCAGCTCCCACTGCTGGAGGACAAGCTGCGGGCAGAGCTGCCTGCCGGGGCCCGCGTGGTGTCTGGGCGCTTCCCGCTCCCCACCTGGCAGCCGGTGGCCATGCTTGGCGAGGGCCTCGACCGAGTCTGGGCGTATGAGGTTCCTGGGGACGGAGGAAACTCCTCCTGGGAGGCTGTCTCCTCTCGGCTGCCCCTGGACCAGGCTGCTCCAGGATCTACTTCTGCCTCTGTCCCAGGGACCCCCGTTTCTCAGCCAGGCTAAATGTTGAGACACGATAAAGACTCTGTGGGTTCTATTCTTATTCATGTTTTGGTGGGGGGGCTGGCTGTGATGTGATCTGCTCTGCTTCTTGGGAGACGAGCTAGTAGCTGCCGGTCCTTGGATCCTGGGGCTTGGCTGGAGGCACAGCTCCCACTTTCCAGGGGTCCCCTGCACTGGCCAGCTTCCTCAGCCTCAGGATTTCCTGCTTGTACCTGCCCAGAGGGACCAGGCTTAAGTGACCTGCCCAGCTGTGGACGGGTCTGCCTCTAGCCCCCGAGATGGCCATCATCTTCCGTTCCAGCCAGACCAGGGCCCTTGGGTCACACCCAGCTCCCCTCCCAAGCGCCCACCTGCCCAGGTGCTGATCCACGTACTCCTGCAGCTCAGAAAGTTGCTCTTCAGCCATCGTGGCCCGGACCAGCAGCTGTGCCCGCTCCTGTTCCAGCTCTGCCTGGCATGGGAGTGTAGGGCATGAGCCGGGGCGTGGTGGGAGAGGGGCCCAGGCCAGCCCTTGCCTCCTACCTGGGTGCTGCGGGAAAAGTCCCGTAGTTTCTGGTGAATCTGGGCCCAGGATTCAGCGTGCAGGCCTCTGAGGGGAGGAGGAGGAGGAGGAGTGGTTTCGAGAGCTAGTATGGTGACACTAGGGCAGACCTGTGACTGTGCTAAGGTTCCCAAAGCTTGGAGGGGACACCTCCTGGGAGTGAATGAGAGACGGCATGGCCCCCTGTGCTCCTGTGGGCCAGCCGAGACGTTGGAGCCGTCTGTGCATGGGGGTGGCCTGGGCCCGGGGGTCTGCTGGCTGCTCAGGGAGGGCTAAATCACGGGCCAGTCCAGACAGTACCCCAGCGTCAGCGGGATGCCGCCCCACAGTGTGCCCTAAATCCTGGGAGATGGTCCTTTGGGAGCTCTGCCCCTTGTACAGCTGCAAACATGGAGGCCCAGAGGCACGGGCTGGCTGGGGCAGCAGGCACCCTACTCCTGTCCCTCAGGTCCTCCAGGTCTCAGGGGAAACGTCTCTGACATGTGCCCTCCCAACCCTCCATGTACAAGGCCCACAGCAGGCCCGTTTTCCCTCTCCTGTGATTATCAGTGTCTCTGGTACCACAGAGGGACCCAGGGGGTGGGGGCATGCCACTGAGTGCACTGCTGTGACCGGACCCTGGCCAGCAGGAGGCGTGGTGGAATAACGGGGGGACTGGGGCCCAGGTGTGGCGCACTCTGCCCTCTCCCTGCAGGCCTCCCCACACTTGTGAGGGCACTCACTGTGGCTCTGACGCTCCCCTCTGGGAGGCATCACTGGGTCCCTTCTGTGGGGATGAGAGCAGTGCCCCAGGCCAGCTGTGCTGCAGAGGTTTGTGGTGGGGACGCCTCAGTTGGCTGGACAAGGCAGGCCCCTCAGATGCCCGGGCCTGGGGTCTCTGGAGCCCAGGATGAAGTCTGGGGCAAGTTCTGGGGCTCTGTGCCCCTAGGCCAGTGTGGGGCAGCAGGTGGGCGGGAGACACCTGGGCCTGGAGTTTCTGGGGGTCTCTGGCCTCACCTGGTCCTCCTGCTGGCTGAAGTCAGTGACCAGCAGCATGGGCAGTGGTTCCAGGTCCGAGCCAACTGTATTGAAAGTAGCTTTGGGGTTCCCAGGTGCCCTGTTGGGGTAGGCCAGTGTCTGTGTGGGGCCACTCCTGCTGCACACTCAGCTTTACGGCACAGAGGCTGAGAGATGCCTCCCAGCCCAGGCGCCGGTGTCAGGGCGCGGCCCACCTGTAGGCACCCAGCAGCTCCTCATGCCTGCGGCTCAGCTCTGCCAGCCGCTTTTGATAGGTTCGGGCGGCCCGGGCCAGCTGCTGCTCACGGCCGCGGTGTGCCACCCGGATGTCCTCCAGAGTGGCTTCCAGGAACATCCGGAGGGTCGTGCTGGCTGGTCCCTGGCCTGCACTGTCTGTGCGCTCCTGGAGGTGGTGCGCTGGTTCCGCACGGGCCCATCCCCATCTTTTCCAGCCATACCCCCCACCCCAGCAGGCTGACCAGTGGGTGGGAGGGGGGCCCACGGGATGTCCCTGAAGTTGTCCAACATGCCCAGGCCAGACCGGGCTCCCCAGGCCTCAGGGTGCTCCTGCAGGGCTCACCACCGCCTCCCGGGCGCAGCGCTGCAGCCGCAGGACGTACTCCTCCTTCAGCTTCTTGAGCTGCAGTTGCAGCCGGGCATTCTCAGCCTCTGCCTGGCGGAGCTGGCCCTGGCAGCTGCATAGCACCTGGGGCAGAGGCAGCCCTCAACTTGTGTCCCCGGAATGGACCTGGATGGGCTTGTGGGGCCCCACCCTCTGGGTCTCCAAGCAGGCAGGGCAGGGCCTCACCACAGCCTGTGTGGCCAGTTGCTGCCCGGCTGCCCTGGCCTCCTCTCGGGCTCCCTGCAGCTGCTGGCCCAGGGCTGCCCTGAGGACATGGGGTGAGGCTCAGCAGGCCCGCGGTGGCTGAGGGGTTCTCTGCTCTGCAGTGGGGCCCTGCTGAGCTGTCCAGGCCCCAGGTAAGACGGCCACTCACACACGAGTCTCCAGTGCCTGCTGCCGGGCCTCCTGACGCACCAGTGCCCACTTTACTTCTTCTTGAAGCTGCCCCTGGGCCCCCAGCAGCTGTGGGGCACATAGGGCTGGTGGATAAGAGCCTAGGCTTGGGGGTCCCCTATGCTGCCCTCTCCCCTGAGCTAGGTGGCTGCACACTTACGCCGCTCCCCAGCCTCTGCTGCTTGTTCTGGGGGCTCGTGAAGTCCTTGGGCTGCACCTGAATAGAAGGGAGGGCAGGAAGGGCTGAGGGGTGGGTGAACCCCGGTTTTACTGAGCCCCCTGCTGAGGCTTCCATCTGGCCTCTCCCAGCCAGGCTCTCCATGTGCTCATGGTGACCTGTAGTCTGCGTTCATCAGAGTGTCCAGGCTCCTGGGCTTTGTCTCTGCGCCTTTGGGCTGGTGCCCAGCAGTGCCTGGGGTCAGCCTCCAGCTCCAGCACCCGGCTCTCCAGCCGAAGGATCTGTGGGACAACTGGCATGAGCAGGTACACCTGTCTGCAGGCTGCTGGGGGAGGTGAGCATTGGCTCAGCACACGTCTGGGCACGAAACACTCATGGGGCAGGCTGAGACCCACAGATGCCACTCTCATGCATTCCCACACAGGGCACATGTCTGGGGCCTGCAACCCTCTGTTTCCTTTGCACTGAGGTTGGCACATGGCTGCTCACCTCACTCTTCAGCTGGAAGATTTCAGCCTCGTGCTGCTCCTGCAGGCGGTGGGTTGTGATTTGAATGTCGATGAGCTCCTTGGAGATCTGTGGGTGGCCGGTGGGTGGCCAGGTGAGAGGTGGCATCTGCGGGGTCTGCCAGCACCTTCCCTCCTCACAGCACCCTGGCACCCACACCCACCTGCAGCTGCTGCTCCTCACTCGGCGCTAGACCTGGTGGGACCTCTGCCCCCAGGCTGGTGGCCCAGGCTGTGGTGCCCCCAGGAGCTCCTGGCAGCCCGTCCTTGGCTCGTGGCACAACCTGGAGAGGCACCACCACCCATTCCCCAGGTTGGGCTGTGGCCCCACTCCCATGCAGTCACCAGCCCTGCTCCCCGCCTGGCTGAGCTGTAAAAGTCCTTCCCCTAGCTGAGATCAGACCCACAGTACAGGGACCTGCACCCTCCTGGCCTCTGCAGGAAAGGGCAGACTCCAGCCCCATGGAAGGAGCTGCGGCTTCCCCGAGGACTCACATTCTCCACCCGCCGAAGGGGAGGTCCTGGCCTGGGGCCTGTGGTGGCTGCATGCTCCATAGTCGGGGTAGTCGGGGGGACCCTGGCCTGCTCCGAGCTGCGTATTGCCTCCACGCCTGGCCTCCCTGTGGCTGCCGCCGCCACCACAAGCACTGTTGCACGCGTTGCCAAGGCCTCTGTTGGTCCCAGGAAACTGCCAGGGCCCTGCCCACAGGGGCAGGGCGAGACCCACGGTTGTGGAGGGGAAGGACAGCTCTTCCTCTCCATGCCTCCGTTTCCCTCTCTGGGGAATGCGGCCCAGCGCTCCCTGCACATTCCCTGTGCAGATGGAACAAGGTGCGTGAAAGCACTCAACCTGGACGCGGCGACAAGCACGTGGGACGGAGCGCGCTACCCGCACGCAGGGTGCCCTGGGCCACACTCGTTGGACACCTTCTGTGAACCTTGCAGTGCTGGCTGAGCCCTGGGACGCGCAGGTGAACAAACTGGACAGATCTCTGCACCTCCGGCCTGAGAAGTGGGGGCACGGACGTCCCCATTGGTGACAGAGAACTCGGAACCGACTGGCCCAGCCCGGGCTCCTGGGGGCTTCCTGGAGGAGACGTCAGCGCCGGGCCCGGCGCCTCACTGGGCACGCGCGCACCCCTGGCTGGCCTTGTGGTCTCACAGCGGGCAGGATCCCGGCCCGGCGGAGGCGAGGCGCGTCCGCGGATCGGGGCGGTTGGCGGCTCTCGAGCCCAACGCAGCACTCCGTCCGGACCCCGTGACCGGCGGCCGAGGCCCCGCCTCCATCTGTCCGTGCTTCGGGCCGTCCGCGCAGCCGTGAGGGTGAGGCGGGCGGCGGGGAAACGCGGCTGCCGGGGGTCGGGGTCTGGCGGCGGGGCGGGGGCCCGAGGGGCGGGGCCTGGGAGGAAGGCGGGGCCTTCGGGGGCCGGGGCGCGTTCGGGAGGGGCGGGGTTCCCCTCTCGAAGGAGCCCGGTGCGTGGAATTCCACGCGAGTGCCGGGGAGTTCCTGGGGAGCCTCCAGCCTCCTCCTCTCCCCCCGCCGCGTGTTGACTGACCCGCCTCGCACAGCCTTTCCCAAGGTGTGGAGAGCGGGCCCCGCCCTGAAGGGGCACCGTGGGCTGGGGGGCCTGTTTTGGAGCAGGCACTCGTGGCCGAGCTCCGCGGCCATGAAGGTCAAGGTCATCCCCGTGCTTGAGGACAACTACATGTACCTGGTCATCGAGGAGCTCACGCGCGAGGCGGTGGCCGTGGACGTGGCCGTGCCCAAGAGGGTGAGGGCAGGCCGCGGGCGGCAGGGATCCGGCCGTGCCCCCCGAGAGCCTCCCCGACCCCCTGGCATAAGCGGTCCCCACGTGCTCTACTCTCCGGGCGTCTCTGGCAGCTGGGGTTGCTCGATTATCTCGGGGGTCCCTAAAGTTAGGGCGCCTCTGGCCTCCGCCCTTCCCCTGCTGCCTAGCCGTCCCCGCACCGGCAGGGGTGCAGTCACCGCCTGCTGGGTCCCGGCTCTCCGGGGCTGCCCGGGGTCCTGGCCGACCTGGGGCGCTGAGCGCGGCGGACCTGGCGCCCCGATAAGGAGAAGGACGGAATGGCCCACTCGGACCGTCTGTGTCATCACCATTCCCGTCCCTTTCAGCTGCTGGAGATCGTGGGCCGGGAGGGGGTGTCCCTGACCGCCGTGCTGACCACCCACCATCACTGGTGAGCGCCGGCTGGGCGAGGGGAGGCGCGAGGACGCCGCCCCGCCCCACCCGGACCTGACCTGGCCCCGCCCGCCCGTCCGCAGGGACCACGCGCGGGGAAACCCGGAGCTGGCGCGGCTGCGTCCCGGGCTGGCGGTGCTGGGCGCGGACGAGCGCATCTTCTCGCTGACGCGCAGGCTGGCGCACGGCGAGGAGCTGCGGGTGAGCGCGCGCCCCCGGGAGGGCGGGGTGGGCGCCCCGGGACCGCCCTCCCTCACGCGTCCGCCTGCTCCTCCGCCGCAGTTTGGGGCCATCCACGTGCGCTGCCTCCTGACGCCCGGCCACACCTCCGGCCACATGAGCTACTTCCTGTGGGAGGACGATTGCCCGGACCCGCCCGCCCTGTTCTCGGGTACCCGCAGCGCAGAGCGCGCCCACCCCGCCTCCCGCCGGCCCCGCCCCCTGTGCTCTGACCCGCCCTCCCCCGCCAGGGGACGCGCTGTTGGTGGCCGGCTGCGGCTCGTGCCTGGAGGGCAGCGCCCAGCAGATGTACCAGAGCCTGGCCGAGCTGGGCACCCTGCCCCCCGAGACGGTGAGCGGGCCTGGGCCCACCCCTCCTTTCCCGTGGGCACAGCCCCCACGCTCTGCACCCGCGCTGCGCCGGGGTGCAGAGTGAACGCCCACCAGAGGGCAGACCGGGCCGGGGAGGCCAGGCGGCGGCGCGAGCACCTGCCCGGCTTCCCGGCCGCGTGCGCGCTCACCGAGGCTCTTCCTCCAGAAGGTGTTCTGCGGCCACGAGCACACGCTCAGTAACCTGGAGTTTGCGCAGAAAGTGGAGCCCTGCAACGACCACGTGAGAGCCAAGCTGTCCTGGGCTAAGGCACGGCCCCTTCCCGCCTCGGCAGGAGGGTGGGGGAGGACGGGCTTCGGGGGCTCTCAGACAAGCCCCAGTGATGACCAGAGCCTGTGGTCACTCCAGAAGAGGGACGAGGACGATGTGCCCACAGTGCCCTCGACTCTGGGCGAGGAGCGCCTCTACAACCCCTTCCTGCGGGTGGCGTGAGTATGGCCGTTGCCTGGGGCCTCGGTAGGCATTGGGACCCTTAGGAAGGCATCCGGGGGCCTCGTGGAGGGCTGAGGAGCCCGGGGGAGGATGCTCATTAAGTGCCTTCCTGCCCACCCTCCCGCGTCGGCGGTGGGCCCCACGCCTCACTGCACCCCTCCCGCAGAGAGGAGCCGGTGCGCAAGTTCACGGGCAAGGCGGTCCCCGCCGACGTGCTGGAGGCGCTCTGCAAGGAGCGGGCACGCTTCGAACAGGCAGGCGAGCCGCGGCAGCCACAGGCACGGGCCCTCCTTGCGCTGCAGTGGGGGCTCCTGAGTGCAGCCCCCAACAAGTGAGCGCCCCCGCCCCCAAACGGTCACAGGGCTCTTTGACCTCAGCCAGCTGGACTCACACAAGGGCCACCTCTGGAAGCTTCTTCGAGCCAGCTGTCCAGCCTCAGAGGGTGGACGTGCATGACCACTCTGTGGGGCCCATGTGGGCCTGGAGACCTGGGTGTTTGGGAAGTGGGGTGTACCGGGCTTCTGAACCTCAAATAAAGCCGTTCTCAGTGCTGGCACACGTGCCAGGAGAGTAGCTGTTTTCAGAGGTACATTTGCGGAGGGGTGCCTTTATTAGACGTAAGCGCTAGGAGACGGGCCTGGTGGGGACCCGGGTGGGGGATGTTGCAGCCAGTGATGCCTGCTGTTGTCCTCGGCTCGCACCTGCTTTCCAGGGGGCCTGGTGGGACCAGCTCTGTCTCTCACCTTCTTCGTAGGGCTTCAGGGGAAGCCTCTAGAACTTGAGGGTGAGAACCCATCTTGTTCTGTCTCAGGCAACCCCAGGACAGGCTGAAGGCTCTCACACACTTGGGTTCATCCGTGGGCCACAGCCCAGGGACAGCGGGAGAGGCTCTGGAACCTCAGGGAGCCTTCTGCTGCCTGGGCGGCCCCACACCACCTGGGCAGAGCCAGTGGGGAGCCCAGAGGCACCTGGACTGGAGGTGATGGGGCGGCCACAGTCCTGGCCAGTCCTGGCTCCTACTTGGGTCCCAGCACACCCTGCAGCTGACTGAGAATTCTGTGGGGAGCCCTGGGGTCTTGTGTCACGCATGCACAAGGCCTCCTGGGAGTCCGGGTCCCGCCGCCCCCTACCACCGGATGCCCAGGCCGGTGTTGGCCTTCTCCACGGCATGGTACTGCGTGTGCAGCAGGCGGCCCGCGCGCTCAGTGTCCGTGCCCTGCAACCACTGCGTGTACAGCTCCTGAACCCCAGCTGCGTCCTCGGGTGCCTCCACCCGGACCATGCTGTACAGTCTCTCCACGTGCTGGAGGAGCTCCCTGCTGGGCCTGTCTGGGGCCTGGAGCTGGCCCCCGCCGTTCAAGCAGCCTGTGGGAGAGCAGAGGGCACACGTGGGCCGCAGCACGCGCCCTGGCCGAGCCTCCTGACCACCGGGAGCAGGGAGGTGACTGGGTGCCCGTGCCCCACTTCTTCCCACTCCCAGCCTGCTGGATGGCGGCCCACAGCTCTGGTCCCAGGAGGGGCCCTCGTGTGCTGTCCCTCCCGGGAGCTACCTGAGGGGCAGGCCATGACCTCCACGTAGTGGTAGGGGCAGCGCCCACGCTTGAGCCTCTGCACCAGGTTCTGGATGTTGCGGAAGCCGTAGGCCATCGCAAAGTGCAGCAGCACCTGGCCCTCCTTCTCCAGCGTCACCTCCTGGAAGTCCTTGTTCCTAGGGGCACAGACGGGGTTTGTCTATGTGGCAGAGCCACCCGGCTCCGGCCCGCCTAGAAGGGGAGGCCTGCTGGGGCCGGGAGACGACCAGGCAGCTCCCAGTGCTCCCTCCCTCTCTGCTGGGCAGGGGGAAGGACAAAGACAGACAGAGTGGAAGGCTCACTTCCATGATCCCAGCAGGTGACCTCACCCCCAGCCTTGGGCTCCCTATCTGTTAGATGGGCCTCCCTCCCCTGGGATGTCTGTGAGGCCCCGGCCCTCCCTCCTGGGACATGGCCTTGCATGCCCCACGCCAGGTACCCACCACCCTTGCCCACGCTGGCCTCTTGGGCTCAGGGTCCCCATTTCCCACAATGGGCAGACTGAGGCCTGGAGCGCTTCAGTGCGTTCACAGCCAGGAAGGCCCTGCCTGTACCCAGGGTCCCCTCCAAACCCTGCAGGCCGTGCTCCAGCCAGCCCGCCTCTGCGGGAGGAAGGCAGTGGGCCGTGTGGCCCCTCTGCCCAGAGATCCGGCCCATCCCACTGACCTCAGGGGTTTGTAGGTAACCTCAGCCACTTGGATTCCAAAGAGCTCTCGGGCCGCGTGCCGGAACACGTGCTCCAGGTAGCCCCCTGAGCCCCCTCCCCGATGGCTAGTGGGCTCCTCTGCAGAGGCTCCGCTGCACCTGGCAAGGAGGGAGAGGCCTCAGCACAGCTGTGGCTGCTGTCTGCCGACCTCCCGAGCACGTGAGCGTTTGCATTTCCAGGTGGGAAACAAGTCACAGGCACAGAGGAACAGCTCTTGTGTCCCTGGCCGTCACGGGCGGCCAGCCACTTCCTGGCCCCCATGGGGTCTCAGCCACTACTTTTTTTTTTGAAGTGGAGTTTGCCTTTGTTGCAAGGCTGGAGTGCAGTGGCATGATCTTGGCTCACTGCAACCTTCGCCTCCCAGGTTCAAGAGATTCTCCTGCCTCAGCCTCCTAAGTAGCTGGGATTACAGGTGCTCACAACCACGCCCGGCTAAATTTTGTATTTGTGGTAGAGACAGGGTTTCAACGTGTTGGCCAAGCTGGTCTTGAACTCCTGACTTCAGGTGATCCACCCACCTTGGCCTCCCACAGTGCTGGGATTATAGGCATGAGCCACAGCTCCTGGCCACTCAGCCACTTCTGTGGACGGGCTGTGGGGAAGCAGGCCCAGAGCGGGGAGGGGGCAGGGAATGCTTCTCCAGAGGCAGCGTTAGAAGCTAAAATAATGTTTCTTGGTGCCAGACATACGTACAGGCTGTCCAGAGGGGCGGGCTCCAGGTCGGGCAGGGAGACGCCTTCTTCCTCCAGCAGCTTGAACACTTCTCCTGCAAGGAAGCCATAGCACAGATGCCCTTCCACTGAGATCCCGAAAGTCAGAGAACATGCAAGCTACCTGCCTCCCTAGCAGTGGTCTGCAGTTTGGCCCCAGAGGGTCCCAAGTGTCCACCCCAGCCCATGGTGGGAGGCCAGACCCGGTCACTTCTGAAGCCCCTCTGGAGGCTGCCTGGTCCTGCCCAGGGAGGTGTGGCGGCGGGCATGGCTGCTGTGCCCATCCAGTATCCGTCTGTCCAGCCTCTTGGGCAGTTTGCTTTTCTGCCTTATACTGGGGAGACTGGAGTTGCCCAGCTCCAGAATGGGTGAGTAATGGGAGCTGAAGGGGCTGCGCTGGAGAATCGCCTCCGCCTCCAAGGACTCATTTCAGAGCCAACAAAGAGGTGCTGCGGGGGCTGATCTGCACAGGTCCCCAAGACGGGCTCCAAGGGGAGAGAAGAGGGTACGTGAGCCCCCAAGCTCCAGCCAGGGCCCCTGCAGGCAGGATCTTGGGCAGTCGCCACCTGTGCCCGGGGCTCAGGAACCAGGCCAGGAGGCTGGAGGGCTGGCTCAGGGCCGCCCGGCGTGACCACACCTGTGGTGAGGACACAGTCCACGTCCCGTGTCTGGTGCTCCTGGTTGAAAAAGTCAGGTCTGGAGGCTTCCAGCTTCTTGTCGTAGCAGGGCATCACCGTGACGTGGTAGACCTTGTCGGGGGTCAAGTGCTACGAGGAGAAAGAGACCCGAGTCTCCCCAGTCCCAGCAGGGAGGTGGCCGAGGCGCGGCCTGGATCTCAGCCATCCTGTGGCCAGGCCAGACCCCGAGGGACCACCAGCCTCACCCTGTTTTCCAGCAAGCCTCCTGCTGGCTCTTCGGATGTGTCCCCAGACGGGACGGGCCCTGGCTGTCACAGAAAATGACACTGACCCGTTCCCAGCATGCCTGTGCTCCCTAACAGCCGAGGCCAATGGAGGAGAAGGGGCCTCCCGCGGCTCAGCTCAGGCCCTCTCACTGCGTGATGTCACGTGGAACCAACCAGCCCCGGGTGAAATTCTACGTCCAGATGGGCGGGAGGGGCTGCAGGGGACAAGGGCGCTCCAGGCCCAGGCACCCCGAGGGCCACCCTCGCCCTCTCCCGCCCCGATGGCTGAGTGGTGTCAGGCTCAGATCCTGCTGGGTGCCCTCATGGACCTGGTAGCCCAAGGGGTGGGCTCCTAGCCTGGGTTGCCTGGAGCCTCCTGCTCCCTCAGCCTCAGGCCTAGCTGCCTCTGGGTGAGCGGTGAGCACCTCTGGATCAGAGCGTGGTGCTCTGTTGCCCAGCCGGAGAGGAAGGGCCTGAACCAGGAAGGAAGGAGGGCGGAGGTGTGCCCAGGAAGGCAGAACCCCATGCAGAGGACTCTGTTTCTTGCAGCCTCGCAGCCGGCGGCCAGTGCGGTCACTTCTGGCTGCTCCCCAGCCTGAGCCTGGGGCTGACCCAACGCTGTTACCTGCTGCTGTGCAAAGAAGTCCTTGACCAGGGAGCCCATGACCTGCTGCGGCGACCGGGCGGTGCTGATGTGGGGCAGGATGAAGCTGCTGTGGGTCTTCTCGGCATAGCAGATCCAGCCTGAGGCGACAGGGGCACATGGCACTGGCGGGGGCGCACGGCAGCCTCTGCACCCACCGGCAGCAGCACCACGTTCCAGGGGCGGCCCGCTGGCACAGATCACGGTGATGTGAAAGAGCGCGGTTCCTGTTCTCTCCCACCCCCGTGTGGGGCTCGGGTACAGGCGGGCACTGCCGAGGGGACCTGAGGTGACTCAGGCGGCTCCCAAGGCAGGCAGCTCCTTCTCCAGAAAAGGCCATGCGAGCCGACGTTTCTAACCTGTCCCTCAGAACCGCCTGCGTCCCCAGCCCCCACCCCACCTTGTCATTGCTGTCCATGTCACCAACTGCACGTGAGCACACCTGGGCAGGCGGAGGCCAGCACGGGCAGGGCCTGTCCTCGGAATCGCCGCACGAACTCTCGCTGGCTCTCCAGGAGGCTGAAGTTCCTTGAGAAGGCTGTGTCGAAGACGAAGTGCACCCCTGGAAGGAGGTGCCTGTGTAACCCCACGCGGTACGCCCACTCACGTACGAGCTGGTGTGTGGACCCCCGTGGTGCTGCTGGGGGTCCGTGTGTGGTAGGTACCCGCTTCCCATGCCAAAGCATCAATGCCACCATGGTGACCTCCTGAAGCCACCCTCCCGGCTCCTCAGCGTAGCTGATCCAGGGAACTGCCATGTATGCTGCTCCTGGTGACCGTCCCTAGGGTACAGCAGGACACTGCCTGCTGGACTGGCCCCTCGGACTCTGCACAGCGTTGACCCCACACACAGCAGGACTCCTGGAGCACCTGCCGGCTCCAAGCCCAGCAATTAGAGCTGCTCAGTAAACCTGCTGAGAGTGCCCTGGATCCCAGCAGGCACCGGCCCAGGGCTCCCTCTT